TCCCAGGTTTTTCCAACCTTTATAACTTTAAAGTTGTGTGGATTCAACCCCCCAGAATGCGAGCGGTAGCATTCTGGGAGTTGAACTCCACACATCTTAAAGTTGATAAGGTTGAGAAACACTGGAGATACATTAGTAATATACCTGCAGTCCTCCATTAAGATTATTGCTCATTCTCATTCTGAATGGTAGGGACAGGTAACACAAACTGAATTCAAAACAACTACATTTCATTAAAATAATCCTGATTTTGCAGAACAGTATCATAATGAATGTATAATTGGTTGATTTGAAAGCATATAATGAAACATGTGGACTCAAACCTGCTCAGCTATTGAGATAATCTTCTGAAGCTCTTCTCTGAAAACTGTGGTGGAACGGAATTTTTAATAATAGTGCCACGTCCGAAGAATTCATTTTCCTCAGGAAGGTTTGCTTTTTAATCTGTTTAGGTTTAGATTGTTCTACATGTAGTCCTTGCTTAATGACAATTCGTTCAGCAACTGTTCAAAGTTATGACAGCACTGAACTGTAGGTATGACTGGTCTTCAAAGTTACAGCCATTGCAGTGCCTCCGCGGTCACGTGATCAAAATGCAGGTGGCATTTTGGCAGCCCACTTGCGTTTATGACTGCCGTGTATGCTTCAGTTCCCCCACCTGCCTATCTCCCCCCCATCTCTGCTCTTTTGGCCACTCTGCACTCTGCCACCGCCACCTACCCCTGCCATCCTCAGCTGACCTTCGCCATCTTCTTCCTCCCGCTCCTGACGAGGCATGCCTGGCCAAGGCAGTTGCTGGCCCTTCGTAACGCCCACTTATCTCCCCCCCCCCAGTCTCTGCCCTTTTGCCCACTCTGCACTCCACCGCTGTGGAGGCCTCACAAAGGGTCAGTAGCTGCCTTGGCTGGGCACACCTCATTGGCAGTGGGAGGAAGAAGATGGCAAAGGTCGGCAGGGGTAGGCGGTGGTGGAGTGCAAGGTGGCCAAAAGGGCAGAGATGGGGGGAGATTAGCGGGTGGAGGGAGTTGAAGCAGAGGCGAGCACAGCAGGGCAGGAGAAGTGTGAGGTCCTTGCCTAACAACTGCAACCAGGACTACTGGAACTGTCATCGCTAAGCAGTGCAGCCACATGAAGTTTCACCTAATGACTGCTTTGCTCAGTGGTAGAAATTCAGATCCCAGTTATGGTTGTTAAGTGAGGACTACCTGTATTCTTTCCATTATGAATGTTTTAAATGGCAATTTGCTTTATCCAAGACATTTAGTACTTTCAGTTATACCAAACAGAAAAAAACTGAAATATTAGAGTACTGACATGGTGCTCCTTGACAGAGGCTGAGGAAGAGTATAGATGTATATCAGCTTGTTGACTAGCAGTTCTCTGCTTATTGAACAGGAAACAAAATAGGAAAATCAGCATCTGTACATACTGTATTGTGATATGTTAAAGAGTCTTTACATCTTCTCACATTAGCTCATTGTTATATGAGGCTTTTGAAGTGGTTTCAAAGTGCTGCTTTTAAGCAATGATATGGAAAAACTCCAAATGCTGTAGTTTGCTATTGATTCTTAAAATCTTTTTCAGCCTTCCTTCAAGGCTCTTCCTCTGTGGACCAAAGACACATAGAACTAGTAAGAGGATTAATGAGTTAACTGTCTGTGATAGCTCTTTTAATAAATGAAACTTAACAATGCAAAAGCCATAAATATTGATAGTATATATAAAACATTAAAATATACAGGGGAAGTCTTATGATTGGGCAGGAAAAACTGCAGGAGCTTCAGAGATTATTCTGTGTTTGAGGTATTCCATCATCCTTTTCTGTTTTAGCTTGGTGAAAATAAATTGTATTTGTTACCTATATAAGGAACACTTCTTCTGAATATAATTCTGTAGAACTCCTTCATTCCCTTAATTTCCAAGGGTCGCCCAGATAGGCTTCTGATCTGTGAAAAATCTATTCTAAATAAATAAGTGCTCTTAAAGATTTGGGACACAGTGACTTTTCTCGTCTTCAGAGAAAACAAATGATATAAAAATGTTAGTAGGCGTGTCAGAATAATAGTTATTGAGTGGTGCTGATAACACAAGCCATTCACAAATTCTGTTTAATCTAGTGTGTATGCTTCATATATCTCGTTAATTGCTGGAATGAAAGTAGGAGAAAAGTGCACTATGATGTAAGTGATTAGATGAAACCCAGGAAAGTATTGCCAGAGGCAAATTTTAAGCTGTCAGCTAGGACTTTCAGATTCACAGTTTAGCCTTTTGGCTATTATTGTGTACATTCTATTCTTGTTGCATTTTGGCTGATCTTAATAAAGGTACTGTCTATCTGTAAATTTTGTGTTTTTCCTCCTGGACTCTTGCAGACGTCTTTACTTTTTATACATTACAGCAGTTCTCATGTAAGGCTTGTAGTACGTTTGCAATGGTTTTTCCAGCTGTGATTTTCCCTATCCCCAGCTTGGCATTCTTATTGTATCTGTGCTGTCTGCTGTAGTTTAGAAATAGAACTGTTGAAATTCTAGCTAGCAGTTCGCTATTGAGGG